AAGCAAACAACAGAAAAACTTGACAGTTAATATGTAGTCAACGATCAGAAGTTCTATGACAATCCTTTTTTCCTTCAAAGTGATACTAAAAATTTTTAAGGTTTGGTTAGTTCCAGTACATTAAGATCATTTAAAGTCAGGCAACCTTAGAAAGTAAAAGGACTTTAAAAAGTGTGTAAATTTACATTGTCAGAATCATGTAAAGTGATAATTGTATAAAAGACAATCAGGTTCTTTAAGATTATGTTTTGATGTTTCTAAATATCTACTTTCAGAGTTTCCTTGCATCTGTCAAAGATTGAGGTACCTTGTTCAAACTCAAGAATCACACAAAATTTTGAATTTTTAACATCATGATTCTTTTTTAATTTAACGTCTATACTGTATCCTCAGCATTGTCACACATGCACTTGTTTTGTAAGAATTGCAAGAGTAGTACTGATCAGTAATCATGAAGTTCCTATGTCTGGAGGCTATAGCTGCTTCACAGGAAATCTGAAAGGTCAGTCTGCCTAAAGGAGAGCATTAATATTACTGAGGACTACGGGGAGAAACCAGCATCGAGCTAGAAGGCCCTCTGCAGCTGGTGAAGCCTGCTGACAAAGAGCCTCTTAGGCAGCATGATACAGAGGAACGCCAGCATTGCACCAGGAGAGGAACGAGTCTGAAGCTTGACCACGAGGACCCTGCAGAGTCAGTGAAAACTTTGAGGAACCAGAGACACCAGCAGAGGAATCCTGAATTTTGGAGGTTGGAGTCAGAGACAGGACCAGGGCTGGCCACCAGGTGAGGAGCCATAGTCCACACAACAGAGACCCACAGCTAAAACCCAACAGAGAAAATATCAAAGAGTATCCTAAGGAAAAGGAAAACAAAAATGAAGGCGGGGAACAAGATGAGAAAGAAAGAAGGAAACCTTTGGTTCAATTATTTATATGCAAGGCATGTTCTAATCTTAGTTACATTAATTGTTCCAAAGGCTGAACTGTACTACAAGCCTAGCACTTTCATGATTTATTTTTCTGTCATAGAAAATAAATAGATGAATAAAAGCTATAAATTTTCTGAAGCACAACACCAGCTGTATAGATGAATGCAATCATAAACACATCATGGCCACAACATGTTACCACACAATTTGAGAAAGAAATATCTGTAAAAAAAGGAGTAGAAGTATCTATAAAGGAAGTAGAAGTATCCATAAATCTATCTAGCTGACAGAGATTGATTAAAAATCATAGTTACATGTGTCTTCATTAAAAGGAAACTGCAGAAGAAAGAAGGTTACAGTGGGAAAAGTATTATATTTCAAAAGTATCTCCTTTCTAGAACAACAGGGTAAAAAATGCTCTGCCATCTTAATATGGCTTTGCCTTCAATAAATATAGATGTTTTCAGTGAAACCAATGAAAACATCCACTGTGTTCCTGCAACTACTTAATTTGTAATATGATGATTTGGAGTATTGACAATCATTCGCAAAGATTACTTGGTTTCAGTACATTTTGTCTAGTGAGAGGAGGCAACAGCTTTGCCACAGTAGATCATCATGTGGCATAACTACCACCAACACATGCTAAGTTTAGTAAATATTGAAACAGATGGAAAAGAACTGTACCACCCTACTACGACGTCCTTCTTCACTGTTACAGTACCAGCACCTGCAGACACTGATGGAGACCAGCATCCAGCACCTCAAGCCCTGAGAAACTTTAAGCAATAAAGCCCAGTAATCCCTTTAGAAATCTTCCAGGCTTTAGATAAAGATGAGTAAGTCAAGAAACAGAGAGAAACATCTCCTTGCTGAATCAAACCAGTTGCACCATGCACGGGGGGACTAAGCCCTTGTGCTAAGCACTTGCTTGCACCCTGGTCTGCGTGAGCAGAGGGTGTGCAGCAGAGCAGGGGGTAGTAGGACAAGAGTGGGGCCATGACACGAGACTGGGACCAGAAACACCCACTGCAGGGCAGTTTGCCATCCCGTTCACATCTCCATGACTCCATACGCTACTCAGAGCTCGCCCATGAATTTGGACAACCTGTTGTATCCAGCATGTGAGCTCATGGAGGTGAAAAAAAAACAGGTGAAAAAAGAGAGGCAAAGAACGGCCTAACATATCCATTTTTAATGAGAGTTAACAAGGGATGTCCTTAGGTAAATCCTTTCCTGTTAGATTTGTGGTCAATGTGGTTAGCATGGTGTGGTTTCAGTAGTCTGCGTAGCAGCTGATCTAATCATATTTCAGAGAACTCCCTGGAGTACACATGTATCAGGCAGAAATAATGGGACTGAAAAGCTATGGGTTTAATGAAAAATTTAGTAGTCTAGGGGGAGATATAAAAGGGTAGATGACAATGGGATTAAAATTGAAGTAAATTCTAAGCTAGCTTCAGCTACTACTATGTAACTGCTATGTTAATACTAAAATTTGTGCGAAATGTGTCTGTCAGTTTTTCAGCTCACTGAATAAACATTAACTTTTCAGAAAACTGTAGCAACTATGAAGATCTGGAAAGTATGCCAGAATAGTTATGCTAAGGGTTTAACGCTAGTGTTTTCCAGAAATTACTATTAAGTACTAATCTTTAAATTTGTTTATCATAGTATTACAGAATCATAGAATAGTTTGGGTTGGAAGGGACCTTCAAAGGTCATCTTGTCCAAACCCCCTGCAGTGAACAGGGACACCTTCAAGTAAATCAGGTTGCTCAGAGCCCCGTCCAACCTGACCTGGAATGTTTCCAGGGATGGGGCATCTACCACCTCTCTGGGAAACCTATGCCAGTGTTTCACCACACCCACCATGAAAAATTTCCTCCTCAGATCTAATCTTAATCTACCCTCTTTTAGTTTAAAACCATTATCCCTTCTCCTATCGCAACAGGCCCTACTCAAAAGTCTGTCCCCATCTTTCTTATAAGCCCCCTTTAGGTATTAGAAAGCTGCAATATGGTCTCCCTGGAGCCTGCTCTTCTCCAGGCTGAATAACTCCAACTCTCAGCCTTTCTTCAACAGAGAGGTGTTCCATCCCTCTGATCATTTTTGTGGCCTTCTTTTAGACCTGCTCCAACAGGTCCAAGTCTTTCCTGTGCTGAGGGCTCCAGAGACGGATGCAGGGCTCCAGGTGGGGTCTCACCAGAGCAGAGTAGAGGGGCAGAATCACCTCCCTCGACCTGCTGGTCACAATTCTCTTGATGCAGCCCAGGAGACGGTTGGCCTTCTGGGCTGTGAGCTCACATTGCTGGCTCATGTCCAATTTTTCATCCACCAATACCAAGTGCTTCTCAGCAGGGCTGCTCTCTATTCCTTCATCCTCCAGCCTGTAGCGATACCAGGATTTGCCCCAACCCAGGTGCAGGACCCTGCACTTGGTCTTGTTGAACCTCATGAGGTTCACACAGGACCATTCCTCGAGCTTGTCCAGTTCCTACAGGATGGCATCCTGTCCCTCAGGTGTGTCAGCTGCACCACTCTGACGTCATTTGCAAACTTGCTGAGCATGCCCTCGATCCCGCTATGTCATTGATGAAGATATTAAAGAGTACTGCTCCCAATATGAACCCCTGAGGGACACCACTTGCCACCGATCTCCATCGAACATTGAGACATTTGAACTTTTTTTTCCTTTCATTCCTTTCAACAGACAAATATCAGGTTAGTGGAGGGACATAACACTGACATGCAATCTGCTACACACAGTTTCTGTTGGTAGCCTTATTTCTATTTGAGCAGAAGAATTAAATAAATTAGTCCTTGCCAAGTAGTTATAGATATTAAACAGTAGATATGGTAAAGTGATTTAACAGCTGTGGATGAAAATAGGGAGTGACCATATGCGTTACTGTGGGTAGCACTCAGATAATTATTGCAAAGTAGTCTCATCAGGAGAATCATTTGTTAATATTTACCACACTGCCTTTGTTACTATTCTTCAGGAACCTCTCACACGGGCAACCAGAGATGGTTGAAACCTGCTTTTTGTGGTTTGACTGAAATCACTGCATAAATTCCCTTTGGGGAATCTAGTAATCAGTTTACACTGTAGCCCTTCTCATTAGCCCTTAGCAAAACAACACTTGATATTTCCTATTTGCAGGGCTACCCATATGGCTAACATACCTCAAGTAAACCCTGTAAATATAGCACAGCTAACAAGGAAATATATTAACTTCATTTTTCTTTTCCAATAACTGTGTCTGTCCTCGCATGGAGCCATGTTCTTACAGAAATGCATGCCTTGGACCCAACAACTCAAATTACAGTTGTGACTTGATGCTTAGCTGTCATACCAATATTGCATATTATATTCCCTGAATCTTATTGGGATGGTGATTTTCAAAACATAATTCCATGCACAGGTGGTGTTTAACTACTGCAAAACTTTGCAGAACATATTAAGACAGCAATTAGTGACATCTCCTAAGGATGGGTAAGTTGTTGTGTCCTTTTTTCTTCTGCTATTAAGTAATAAGGGACTATATTAATCCTAGTTAACTATATAGAAATACTCCAAATTCTCCCTTTATATTCAAGGAATATTTTAATTGTAGTTGTTCACCTCTCCGTGTTTCAACTAAATCAGTAGTAGTCAGAGAGTCCAAACTTCTCTTTTAATAAATACATTTCCATCCCCTTATATTATTAGAAATACCTGAGCAATATATATGTACCCATCATTTTTGACACCCTCGTTTGAAGGGTGAGATACTATTTCCCTGCTTAACTTAAAAATCGGTCTAAGGAATATCAGATATGTAATGATTCTAAAATATCATTTAAAAGGAACAGGTAAATACACAACTCAATCTATTTTAAAATATACAGAATTTAGTTCCAGTTATTGTACTATCTTTACTGTCTTCTCAAGAAGAGAATGGAAGACCTTTCTTCTGCCAGCTGATGGAGAATAAATCATCAATATTTTTAAAGTGTTTTGAAATAATATAGTATTCAAATAAGTATTCTCCAATGTCAGCATCATAATCAAACTATTACTTACATTTAGACGAAGTTGGTTAGTCCACTGACCAATTACTTTGTATTCTGTACTCTTGTTGGTGATTTGATACTGAAAAATATCATAGCGTCCAGGAGCATCCCCATTTTCATTGAAGATAACAGGTGTTCCAGCACTCCCTGAAAAAAAAAATTAAAAAATAATTAAGATAAATATCTTTAAATTTTCAAGAAAATATATTTTGGAGGAAAAATACTAATTAGAGATTGAGCAGGTTCTTAATAATGCAAGACTGGTATGGTAATAAATCAAAAAACCTCACAAAGAGAAAATGTATGTTATTATCATCATCTTCACAAAATCTGCATAAAAAAACATATAATCTTTTACAATCCTTTTGGTTGGTTGGTTGGTTGGTTCATTGGTTGTTTTTTTGTGTGTGTATATTACAGAACATTAGGAAATTCTGTGATAAAACAGAAGTGGAGAAACTCCTTTTTACTTTGGGAACCAACTCTCATAGAAGACCTTGAGATGCAAGTGTCTAAGTCTGGTCACAGTAAATGTGATCAGTTTCTAGCACTGCTAACCTGTGTAAAAGTGTTTTATCAAAATAAATTAAGGATAGCAGCTGTGCTTGTTGCTCTCTCCTCTATACATGACACTGCCTGACAGAATGGGCCATTGCTGAAGCTGTCAAAAGTTATAAATTGATGCTCTGTTCTTACTTCGATCAACAAAATGTTCAAAGATTGAGAACTACACATCTACCTTGGCAACCAGACCAGCCAAATTAGAACACATTTTGATGAATTCCCTCAAGGTGACATCAAGGATCTGCACTCCTACAGAGACTTTTCAAAAACTACACAAAGAATGTAATTTTCACCCATCTCCCAAATTCATGTGTATAGGTGAAGCATATTTATACTTGAGGCCCGTTGAAGACAAGATCAAGTGTGTTAAAGTTCTATTTCAGTGACTGGAGAATGAAATCTACCTTTACTTGGCAAAAAACCCAAACCACCACAAAACCCACTCCCCAACGTTTTCGTGTTTCCCCATATGAACCACCAAGACAAGGAGAATATCCAGTCCATAGTAAATTCCCACAGTATAAGACTAGTTAATGTGGCATCTAGATGCACTAAGTCTGCTGTGAGTGGTTTCCAGAGAATGCCAAAAAAAGCTTGAAATTCTGGGTGCATATCAAGCAGAAGCTAACCAGTAAAAGTGGGAACAGCAATCTACATACACTAGAATTTCAGCATAAATACTTCTTCTTGTATGTCTGTTTGTCTCCCGTAAACTATTTTGTTCTCTTGTTTTCTATAGCAGCTTTCATACACAACTGATATCCAGTGAAATAAACAGTGCTTTGAGAGTGACAAGTGGCACATTAACTGCTCTGCCAGTTTCACAATTCTGCCAGCAAAAGTCTGGCTGCAAAAATTAGATGTGAGCAACCACGGAAGAGGAGTATCAAAAAATTATGTGTGATAAAGACTTAAGACCCCATGAAGATAGAAGATACTCAACACAAAATTTTTGGAAGTTCTTCGTGCTTTACTCCCAATTCATTTGACAGAATGAAGGGCAAGAAAAATGCTTGTCTACGAACTTCCAAACAATGAAATTATTCTTCACTGCTCAAATAGCAGGTTGATCCAATAAATTTCTTCCACCCAATAAACACATACTCAACTGCTGTAGGTGTGAAGGGAACCTTCAAAATATTACTCTCAAGTAATGATGGAATTCATCTTTCCACGCAGTAGCATTTGAAGAGCTCGTGGAAAGAACAGATACCTTTTACCAACAGATACGAAATTTCCTTTGTATCCCTTAAGACCAATGGCAACATCAGACATTCTTATGCTCAGCAATAACCACGTGAGTTTATAATCTATTGCTGGTTTTAGAAATACCATGTACAAAGAGACAGACTATAGCACAGGCCAGAACCATCTTTCTCTTTGATGTAGTGGTGTTCTCAGCTAGAGCATAGCAGCGTCTCACACTGTGCACCTCAGTCTACAAGGGACATAGAATCCTGCTGACTTCAGCTGCCACCTCCTGATAAATCCAGCTGCCACTCCAACTGACTCCAGCAAGATCTTTCTCATATAGCAGAAGTTCAAATAGCCTTTGCCAAAAATCTGGAATAAGTCACAGAAGATTCAGACCCCCAAACACTGGGAAGAATATGCTATCCCTCTGCTGAGTAGCAGATTTTAAAAAGTACAATAACAGTCATAGCGCCTGCTGTAAAGTAAATGTGATTGTGTTCTAACAACACTGCCATATCCAGTAGATACTGTTAGCAAGCAGTACCAGAACATTCTTTTCATCTGTCTATGTCTTATGACTTATATATTTCTTCCAGTTCATTGTTGTTCTGTAGAATTTAATAGACCTAAAACAAGGAGGTATGCATGGCTGGATTGTGCTAATAAACCATTAGCTACATAACCAGGAAAGCAAAGCTTAAAGACATTTGAAGAAAAACTGGGGATTTTACCAAGAGTTCCCAAAATTATGCATACAAGATGGTAGCAGAAGCCTTGAAAGTGTAAGGACAGAATGGAACGAGAGGCCTCAGGCTATAAACAAATCACCAATGGTTAATTAGTCTTCTTTAAAAAATGTTAATCTCATCTGGAGAAAAATATACCTTGATGGATGATCCGGATGAACAGGTCATCTGAGAACGGCTAGTCCACAAAATGAAAAGGTTTTCTAAGAAACTATACTTTGTTGGATAGTTCATCAAATTAGAGTGAACATTTCTGTGGAAAAACTGATTAACAGTGAGATCAGCTAATTAAACTATGTAGAGAAACACTCTAGCTGACCCTAACTAATAGCACAAGTGGAGGCACATCTACATTCAGTTTAAAACACTGACACAAATGCCACTGAGTTGTACAAGTGCCTCTTTTTCTGACAACCAGCTGTGCAGAACATGCACTCTTGATACCTGGTACTGTAGTGCCACGTGGGCTTACACTCTGTCATTACTGTTACAGGGAATTGCATCTTCGTTCTAGTTTAAGACATTGAGTGTGTTTAACTGCTCCACTTAATAGTCACTGAGGACTGGTTACTAAATCTAAATGCAATACCCTGTGGAGACAACATAATACGGAATATAACACTGACCCGAGGTAGTGAGCCCAGATTAGATAAATTCCATCTTAGATAAAAAGATTTTGGGAAAGAAACCACACGGAATAGTTCTTGGACAGGGTATTTACCTTAGAGAATGAACTTGTATGTATCACATTTATCGGGCACCATCATAGAAAAATGTTACTTTTGCTTAGGAAAAATTCCCTTGTAATGCTAGTGTAGACCACTTCAGAGAATACAAAGCAGCCCACTTTTTAAAAAATAATTTCACTAATTTAATTTTTTTTGTCATAATTTGTCAGCAATAATTTAACAAGGTAGTTAAAGAGCAGTGAGGGAATTGTGCCTTTGGGCCTTTTCACATTTTATTCTCTGTGTGGTTATGTTGCCATGCATAATTTTAACCAATGATTGACTCAAGTAATTGTATTCAATCTGTCACCATATTAACTAAATTTTTAATGTATTCTGGATGCCTGAAACAGAAGTACATGGTAGAATTTCAAGAATACACAATAAGCTTGGCTAATGATGGCAAATAATGTGTAAGACAATGCAAATCCTTTTTGTATTTTTTCATACATATATAAAAATAGTTTCTAACTTATTTTGAGATCTGTTTCTGAAGTTTCTCTTTGCTGAACAATTCCAGAATACTTTCAGAAAGTCTTTTTTTTTTTTTCTGAAGTATAACTGTATATGGATAAGTGGAAAGAAAATTCAAAATTTCACAATGAAGCGTTGTTAAAAAGGTTTACAGACTTGTTTTGAAATCACACTCTTTTGCAGCCAAAAAGCTAAAACAAAATAGGAAAATGCAGCTTATTTAATGTCCTCAGTTTGTAATGGAAAGACCAACAGTTCGATCTCATGGTTAGTACAGGGTGAAAGTGTTTATTTTTCTTTACAGGAACTACCTAAATAAAAGGGATAAAAGGGATAAGATACAGTGAGAAACACACAGAGACAGAGCTCCATCCATCTTTCTATTCCTTTGAAGACGTTACAGCACGAAGAAATTACATTGTCCTGACAGCAGAGCTGTGGCTACATCCAATGATGTGGTTCAAAATACAGACAAAGAAGTACTGGGTTGTGCACCTGAACTGGTGTCCTGAGTTTTTCAAGTCATAAACTTAAGCATTTGTCTACTCCTGGACATCCTTTTAACAGCCATATATATTGTAAGTATGATGAGGTCACTTAAAAGCTTTGGTGTCTTTGCTGTATTGCATACCAAGTCTCAGATTTTTTTGAAACACTGAAGGGTTGATAAACAGATCCTACTTCAAAATCACTCCAAAATCAGACTAAATAAATAATCTTCTATAAACTCTATAGAAGGATGCTTTGTAGAATAGTTCTGTTACCACTGATTTGAAGACAATCCATATCCACGGCATAAAAAAAAATTACTTACATTTTATTAAACCTAAGGGCATATTTTCTTATTGTAGATATAAAGTAATAATCTGGTACTGAAAGAAATTCTTCCTCCTCCTTCCCAGTCTACAGCCATCAGCATTAAACAACTCTGGGTGTTAAACTAGCACATTAGCTAAATATTACTGAAGCAATGTGTCTGTGACCTCAGCTATTTATGAGTCTTTCAAAATGCAGCTTAAACTAGCCAGAAATGTTATTTAGAGAAGAAAAAAAGGAAAAGGCATGAGGTTTTTAATTCAGAATCAAGGTTGTAATGGATCCTTTTGAATTTTTAATGCCTTACATTGATGTCAAGGAGCACTCTTTCTGATAAACAACTGTTTTATGACAGTTCCTTTGTGCACTGAACTTGAAAATTTGCACTCTTCTGAAGAAATCCTTAAACATGTATCTTGATATTCTTAAGATGCTGCTCAGCAACTACCTTATCTTACATGTGCCTACTTTATTAAGTTACATTTCACATGAATCTAAAACATCCCTGCTCCAAATGCAAACTGTAATCTTAGTTCCCTCTGAAGTTATGGAGCACACTTGCCTGGATGTCTTCCAGTGAAGTTGTTCTCTTTACATCTCAGGTAGTGGAAAAGAACTGGAATGACTGGAAAACCACAAAATTCATGGATAGTAGTGACCAACTACATATTAAAGTGATTAATCTGTAACGGTTCCTAAATTAAGAATAGTGGTGATCCTTATTGTAAAAAAAAAAAAAATCTGTTAAATTAAATGAACAGCCTTGGATTTTTCTTATATGAAAACTTTTAAAAAAAATTTACTTACTACGAGGAACTGCTACTTCAATGCCTTGACAAAAGTGTAGACAAGTGGTTGTGCTTATAAATCTCACAACTGCCATTTACAGAATATTCCAACTTTAGTGGAGCTGATTTCATTACAAAGCTTGATACCAGATACAAATCTATTATTTCACCAGATTTCGGTGGCTTGATTTTTTAAACTGAAATGAAAATTACTTAAACTAAGTCTTCATCCTTTGAGTTGCTCCACATAGTCTCTTCTATCTGCTATGAATCCTAATGCAGTCAGCATGGATTCAAGGGTATGTTTAGGTGAATGGAAGTCAAGCAGTTTATTTGTACACTAATATATATATTAGTATACTAATATATACTATTTTATGTATATACTATAGTATATATGTACACTATAATGTATAATAGAACTGTATAATATATATAATGTATAATGTATACTGTAGTATATATGTACACTATAATACAGTTAACTGTTTTGTATTAAAAACTTCAGAATGCACCATCTGTTAGAATTTGGCTTTACTGGAAGGCTCCTCAGATTTATAGGATCAGCCCTTATTTCACTAATTTATACAATTAGTTTCAAGTGCTAGAGTTGGAGGTTCAAATTTTTATTAATTAGCATTTCACCTTAATTAGCTGTTAAAAGGAAAAAGTACTACAGAGATGTACATGAACTAAATTGTTCTCAGTAAAGTGGAAAGAAGTAGTGTAACCATTTGAACTTTCAATGCTGAGAGTTCCCAAAGAAGAAGAATGCGTTTGTAAAATTAAACAAGAAATTTGTCACTGATAAGTATTTCAGTGAGACAAAATAGAAGGGTGAAATTGAATAAATGGAAAGAGTAAATATTAAATGTTAAAACAATTAATACTTGGAAAAACCAAACAAACAGAGAATTATAAACAATCAATTAGAACGAACAAAAGTTAATTTGTGAATGTTAGGCTGGCAGACAGAGGAGGAATACACATTGTATCAAACTGTTTGACATCAAACATTTGTTTGTGACAAATGAAGCCATTATGTGTCCAATCTCCGTACAGGGGACATTTTCAAACAATGAGCAATGTTGTTAACTAAAATAAAGAATTATGATTGTCTTACACCAATTCAAAATCTGAAAAGACTTCTCCTTATGTTTACCCTAAACATCTCAGTTCAAGATGAGGACAATAAAACAGGTTTGCACCCAGTTGCTGTAAAGCTTACTGACTTTTCAAATTTCCTAAGATACTGGAGACATCCACAGAGACGTGCAGAATATGCATATGACAGAGAACCTGTGCCTTTCCAAGGCAGCAGCTGGAGGCCAGATGGATACCCTGGGGTATCTGAAATGGCATTCAATGCCCATGTTTAGGCAATTTATCTTACTTACCACGGGGCAGATTCTGGCTGTTCATGTATGAATACACAAAACAGAACCAAAGAGAAATGGAGAGTGCTACAGAAAATGAACTATATGCAGATTTAGGGCATGTGTGATAGAAATTATGGTGGTACCCACTAC